CCACCCTGGCTTTAAACACTACCAGAGATGGGCCAGCCACAGCTGCTTGTTGCTTGAGGCAACTTGTACCAGTGCCTCAGCACCCTCACACTAAAGAATTTCTTCCAAATACCTAATGTAAATCTCTCCTCTTTCAGCCATTCCCCCTTATCCTGTCACTACATGTCCCTGTAAAAAGTCCTTTTCCAGATTTCTTGTAGTCCCCCTTTAGGTATGGGAAGACTGATATAAGGTCTCCCCTGAGCCTTCTCTTGTCCAGGCTGAACAAACCCAGCTTTCTCAGCCTGTCTTCATAGCAGAGGTGCTCCAGCCCTCTGATAATCTTCATGGCCCCCTCTGGGTTTGCTCCAACAGCTCCATGTCCGTCTTGTGTTGGGTGCCCCAGAACTGCACACAGTACTCCAGGTTCGGTCTCACAGGAGCAGAGTAGAGGGGGAGAATCCCCTCCCTCAACCTCCTGGCCACAGGGCTGCTTCATGTCATTACAGTTAACTTACGCCCTTCTGCAGCAAGGACTAAGTCTTTATTTGCTTAGGAAATTACCACACATATCTTTGGCTGTGTCTTAATAACAAAGCTTGACTGAATTTATTCTAAAATACTGAATTCAATATTATATAAATGAAGCTGTTCTACAGCTTGGATAGAATTTTAATTGCAGATTCAATTTAATATGTATTTGAAATGGTTTGTGCTTTAAAGGTGAAATAATTTTAGATGTAAATTGCACATTCAGGAAGTCCTAGGATTTCCTAAATCTAATTAGTATTAAGGCTTTTTAATATTTAGGAAATAAAGTTTTGTTGTCTTGTAGCTTGGGAAACACAAAGTAATGTGTTTATACATTTTCAGCTAAGGAGACTAAAACCCACAACTCCTCCAGAGAAAGCAGTCCTCTTGGAAGTGTTACAGGTGTTAATGAGGGCTTTCTTGAAGATGGGCAACCAAGAGAACTAGATGAATTTCTGAAGAGTTTTGACATGGATGAAAAGGTACTGAGAAATCATGTTTTCTGTCACTAAGTAGTTTAAGAAATTATAGTCCATGTAGTTGGATAATTTTAATTACTAATGCTGGTTTATCAACAAAATTTTTTAATTTCCTGTAATAGAAAGAATATTAGTGCTTCACAGGTTGCTGTGCTATTGACAATGTAAGTTTTGCTTGACAGAATTTGGGGTTTTTTTGCATTGTCACTAATAACCCATTTTCAAATTTGAAAAAAACCAAGATAGTTATATCAGTTATTACAGTAACTCTATTACCAATTGTATGAAAATTCCTGTTCCAGGGAACACCTAGGAGTACTACTGTGCATATGTGACATTTTTACATAACATAACTAGTTTTAAAAGTTTGTGTTAAATGCTTCTCACCACGCTGTCTCAGAAGGATGGCATGTTGTTGGAAAGCTGGGGAGCTGCACAGCCATCATACATCCGAGGAAGATCATCCTGTGGCTCATTACTTGGGCAGAAGAGTCATTACATTAACATACTGACTTCCTGGCAGTTCAGAGGGAACATTAAACCATTTTCATGCTCAGTGACTTTATCTGACCTTTCTACTCTCTCTGTCTTCCTTCCTGTAGATGATAAGTCTAGGTCTTTTAAGACTTGAAGTTTTATTCTATTTACTTCTTTTATAATGGATTAGAATTTACAGCTTGCTGCCACTCAGACATAGCTGCTGATAGCATTTACTGTTTTCCACTCCTTGAAGAGTGGATAATGGTTTTAACTGGATAAGTTAAACTGTAAAATTCACATGGCTAAAAACTGGTAAGTGATGGATAAGGTAATCAAACAGTAGGGAATCAGTTTCCCTGGCAATATCATTATTTAAAAGCAGAATAGAAACATTTCCTTCAGCAAATGGAACTGGGGCTGCTGACATCTCATTCACAAAGTGTACCGTGCCGTTTTGTTCCCTGATCTCTTAGGGAGGGTAAAAGGGTCTCTCAATAGAATAGGTTAGTGGAGGTGTAGTACTTGTTGCAGGACTTCCAGGTCAGTCCCTGGGGCTAATTCATAGTGTTGTGGCTTTGTAAAATCAGTGTTGTAATGCTTTCGTTTCTGTGCTGTGTTGGGCAAAGGTAAATAAGTGCAACTAATATTACCCAAACCCCAAACTTTACCAAACTTAACCCACAAAATACTAATATAGCCCTAAAGCTGTTCCTGTATGTGGATGGAAAATTAGCTTTGCAGATGTGGGGTGGGAGGGCAGTTGCAGAACACTTGTTGCAGGTATTCTGTTGTTTGTGGTGATTCGCGGGGGGGAGGTGATGTTTTTTCCAGCTAATAATACTGTGAGAAGGACAAAAACTGAACCATGGAGAAAACCCTAAAAATTTTTGAGGAAGTGGTAAACTAAATTTCGGAAATCCACTGAGAGCATGTCCATCTCTAATTATTTGGCTGTCATAAATTTGTGAAATTCAAGTTACTTCATGAATAACAGACAAAACAAAGCCAGGATTCCATGACTTTGTTCTGTATCAGTCCCTTCAAATTTTCATATCCAAATATGTTAGGTTCTGTCTTTTTTCTCCATATATTTGGGGATTTTTTTACCTATATGCCATGGTACACAGCTGAGAAAAAGCCTTAGATTTCTCCTCAATACAGCTTTAAATTTTCACTAAACTGGGTGGAACGTTTTTTGTGGGTTTCTACACATCTCTCAGGCACAGTTAAAATGGGGCAGTGGGCCTAAAAATTGCTGGAACTACTGGTGGGAACAAAGACAAGACAATTGTGTCACCTTTTTTGCAATTAAAAATCACCGTTTTAAGGATTACAAGGTATAATAGCAGTGGTTTTACACCATTTACACCATATAATGTCAGTCTTACACCATTTAAAAAGATGGTGTAAGAGTAACTCTACCATCCAAATTACAGTTGTTACGGTCAAGACTATATTATCACACTTCCCAATGATCACTAACAGTTTGAAGTCTATAGTGTAAAGTATAAGAGGCTTTGTAGTGCTTTGCTGTATCTGAAAGTACATTTTAAATATCTTCACAGTTCAGGTTTGCAGATGGAGTGCCTGAAGTTAAAGAAGAAAAAGAAGGTGAAGCTGAAAAAAGGTATATATACTGTGTTCTTCATGTAAACTGTGATTTTCCCCAGTTACTGTACAAATGAAATGTGATGTTTTTCCTGAAACACTATCAGCATTTTAATTCAGTTTTTCTGTATTATTGTGACTATGTGATGAAGAAAATACATATGTGAAATAATATAATTTCACTGTGCAAAGTACAAGACAAGTATAGTTGTAACCTGACAGGACAATAGAGGTTATTTTGTCCTCTGGCTGGTGATGAAATACACACTTTATGCCAGTGTCTTGCTTTGGCATCTCAATGTGAGTCTGGCATAAGATGCATCTCCAGCCACAATAGCACTTACAGAACTTTAGAAAAAAAATAAATCAGTTGAAACATTCAGCTTTCTTTTCTGCCTCTTGGGACTCCCTAAACTACTGAAAGAATTGAAAGATCTCATTCAAATTCAGGCTGACAGATATTTGAACAGCAATAGAAAAAGGCGCTTAAAAACATGGCATGTGGAGTAAAGCATGTGCTTTGCTGTTCTGCTAGCTTCAAGCTGTGCTTACAGTGTTTGTTGCACGTACAACTTAAAGTGTCAGACTAAGAAACTTACATTCAACATCAGCCTAAAAATCAAGCAGAGTAAGACTTTGTAGAAAAAGTATACTTAAGTGATGTAATCCTGAAATAATGAGAAGAGAAATAACAGGTATTTCAGAGTCATTTTCACAATAATCAAGAAACCTTAGCTGGTATAGAAGAGGGTATTGCTTTTTTCCAGCACCAGTTAGATTCCAGTAACAGACTTGAAGTGTACCAGAATTTGGTTACATAGAGAATATTGCATCTTTTCATTAATCCACTAGAGAGCTCCAACCTCTTCCTTCTGGTAAAATACCCCTATAAATTTACCTTAGTAGCATAAATAGTTCTTTATACTATAGGAAAGTAGACTATGCTAGATAAAATATGTGCAAGTGATACTGCATTACTTCCTTAGTTGAAATGCAGTGTACTCTGCAGTTACAGAAGAGGCATTTACCTATTCTTTCATTTGGAGTCAAACTATTTCCTCTAGTTTGACTCAAAAAATGTTGCCATTGCAAAGTTTCATCTAGAAGAAAATATAGTTACTGTTCTTATTTAGCAAACTCCACTTCTAATAATGCTCTTCCTTAGAAAAAGGAAGTTGATTGTAGAGCTTTAAAATTTACAGTTCCTCACAAAATTGCATGTAGTTTCTTGTCTAGATTAAAGAGAGAGCCGAGGTTGTTGTCCTGAAGGTAAGGTGCTATGAAAATCCTGTTGTGTCAGATCTGAGGCTGGCATCACAAGGAAGCATTAAAAAAAATTTCATGGTGACTTGAAAGTTCTGATTAACTAAATCAGCAGATGTAGTTTTCTATTTTCTTCCTCTGGAGACTTGCATAATATAATAACTAGAATAAAAATAACGAATTTTGGTTTATTAGGTAGAATTTATTCTTCTCTGCTGTAGCATTTTTATTTCAAACTCTATTAAAACTAGCCTGCAATTTAGGAAAGATTTTGCTTATCCTGGCTTTGGGAAGTATTAAATAGGTAGAATTTGCCCTCACAGGGGATAGCAAATCAGCTTCTGTCTCCAAACAGCAAGCAAGCTGAAGTGTCATTTGTACTGAACCTAGATTCTTAATTGAAGGAGGAGGAGGATCGTATGAAAGGGGATTATTTTTTTCTGTAGCTTTATTTACAAATAAGAAAGAGATCACTAAGCATTTAGCTAGCAATATTTGTAGCTTGTTTCAGAAAACATCACATTTTAGTTGTTTAATTATCTGGAATGTACATATTTGGAAATAGTCAAAGGCAGAACAGTTTTTAATTGGAGTTGCCTTTGAAATCACCTAAATCTTCTGCCAAGTAGAGCCAGTTATTAGGAAAGAAAACAGCTGGCTCTTCAAATGTGATTTCAAAAGCTTTGTGGATTACTTTGACAGATATTACATAACAGGCTACTGAAAAGTAGATGCTTCTTTAGAGGTGACAGAAATCATCTCAGTCTTCCTGTCAGCACAATGCAAAAAGAATAGATGTTGTTCACGGGTGCCTTTTCTACTTATTTATTGAATTTCATATAGTTCCACTTAAGGACAGAATAATCCCAGCTAAAATCATAATCAGATTGGACCATGCAATCAGAGTAATGAAAGTAAAGTTGTTGGGACTGCTAGCTATTTAAATTTACAGCAAGTTTTGAAGTGTTATGTAAATTGTTGAAGACATTCTCAACTTTTATGTGCTTGTTCTCCCTTTTTAGTTGCTTAGTAATGGGAGAAGCACCTGTTTAATTTGGTTAAACAAAGTTTCGGTTTTTAATACTCAGCAGTGACTGTAAATACAAAGACCTTGTGAACTGTGGATTGCTATCAGGATTGCCATTGCCTGCCCCGAAAATAAATGTCCTCAGTGAAACTACAGAGATGGAACCCCGGACAAATGGTATCGTATGCTGTTTTGGTGAACCCTCCAGAATTTATTTTTATGTGTGTTTTATTTACCTGTAAAATCTTAAGGAATTTCTTCAGTTGCTGAAGGCACTGGCTGGAGTTTGTTTTAGTTTGCATACATAGAAGCAGAAAGCTCTCACATGACAGGTTAGTCAGGTTTTTGGGGTTGGGGCAGGTTTTTTAGCAGGATCCTATTTGGTAGGGTCAAATAGCAGTTGTTCTCTTATGGTATTTATGGTTCTCTGATACTTGAATGGTATAGGGAACGTGACTGCAGATTTTCTTGATTGGTTGTTATCTGTAGGCAAAACTTGGTTAAGGGATTTGCCCAGCTTGCCAAAGGTCAGAACTTAGTTGTTTATGCCAGTTCACATGTTTGCAAGACATTCACTAGAGTGGATCAAGGAAATTATCCTAAATTTAATAAGCAGTACTTAATTTTAACCTGGTATATTTCACACCTGGGACAAGTACTTCTTAAAAGTATGGCTGCCACCAGAGAAGTAATAATTTAATGGAACTGCAGTCGAAGTTTCGTTCTCTTTTTCTCTGCACAGAACAGCTCTAACGTTTCACCTTACATAAAAGCATAGTTTTATTTGGTGTACAAGATAGAGAAAACCAGGAATTGATTGCTTATGGATAGATACTATATGCTGTTTCTTTGCAAAAGCTGTTTTGGGAATTAATGTTTTTAGAATTATTGGTTAATATGAATGTTTGTAAACATGGATTTCCAGAATTGAGCTCAGTGGCAGAGGTTCTTGCTTAGTTTCTAATTATACTGCTGGTCTCATCTTGTAGAACAACCTTATCATCATGTCTAATAATATTTTCAAGAAGTGCAAGAAACATAGATGCTATAAAAAGCAACTGTGAAATATGTCTCTAGAATGCAGTAGTTTGAAATTGCTTATGTCTTTGACCTTAAAAGTGTATACACCTTATGAAGAGTTCTTCTAAATCTTCCTTCTTAAAGTCATTTGAAATTGTTGCCAAAGCAAGAGTTTCTGTGCTAGGAGAGGGTGAAACAACCTCTTCCCCCCCAGAACTGTGCAGACAGGATTGGCTAGTTCACTTTAGTGCCTACTTCCCTACAAATTTGACATGCAATTGGCAGCAAGACTACAAACTTGAAAAGACTTGGTCAGAAACTCTGTGCCATGGGGGTGGCAAGAATCTGAAGGAAAGACCTCTAAGCTCAAGTTCCCAGTGGCATTGTTCTGCAGCTAGTGGCTGACTCTTTCCTTGGTCCTTTTCCTGTCACTAAATTCATCCAGTCTTGAATTCACTAAATTGTCCACCATCGCTGCACGAAGTTATACAGCTGTGACAGTACCTGACATTTAGGTATTTAATTGTTCTACATGATATTTCTCCTTCCTGTCCTGTGCTAGCCTACCTCTTTAGAAAGCCATGCAGATTAAGAGCCACGTACCTAGTGCAAGTCTGTAGTAGAACATGCACCATCATTGTATGCTCTTTAGTAACTATAGCTTGACAGAAAGTGCTAAGCACGCCCTGTCTTTTGAATACCCTGTTCTTTGAAGGGGCCAGATGGGAACCCTAGAAAGCAAGGCATTTAGAAGCTCTTGTTTCTCTATAGATGTGGAGTTAAAAATTTTAACTTTTATCTTCCATTAGCACTTTATTTTTCAGAGAAAGAGAAATGTTATCAGTAATAATTCTAAACCCAAGTTTTACAGTTAAGAAATCAGTAACTTACATTGGGCTTAAGCTTGATACCGCACTGCTTAAAACAGAGTATGAAAGATTTTGTTTCAGTTTTGGAAAAGTAGTTTAAATTTATGGCTAGTGATGTGGGAATGCGAAGATGACTGATAAAGTGGGTTTGGTTATGGCTTTTTCTCCTTTTGAAATGAAAACTTTGGGTATTTTAATTCCATTTCTTTCCTTCTCTCTGTAAGTGAGATTAGAAACCTTGGATAAAGATGCAGAGTTTTTAATTTAAATGTGTTTACTCTTGAAGTTTGTGTAAAGTCTTGATTTTAGGATAATTAAGGAAACTATAACTTAAATTATTGGCTTTAGATTGTATTAATCAAATTTTCATTAATCATTGCTATGACTTGAACAGACTATAAATCTAAGGGAAATAAAGATAAATGAGAGTGGTTTCAGTATGATTTATGTTATTACATGATCCATTTATTGCCCTCATCCTAATTTTTAGATTACAGATTTTCAGGAAAAAGTCTTTTACTGCCATTGCAAAATTCTGGAGATTTTGAGCCATGGAAGGTGGAAAAAAATGCAGTTGTGAGTTGTTAAATCCTTAATGATCCTTTGGCACAAATTTTGTTACGGATATTCAGACAACTCTCCATGTATCTAGTCAGAAATTAGGAATCTATGTAAGTTTATGTTTCTACTCCTCTAAAGATGTTATCACTGAGTAAGTACAATTTCTGAGAACAAAATCAGTGATGAGGGGACAGCTATTCACAATCAAGTTTCGTAGATTTCTAGTTCCAGCTTAAAGTCAAATAATGTTTTTTGCCTTCTTGTTTTTGTGGAACTGAAAAGCAGACAAGGTTTATCACATTTCAGACAGACTGCATTATCCATTATGCTGGGCACTGAAAAATGGTAAAGAAAGTTGATGCCCCAGAATCCTCAGACTCTTATCCAGAGCATGCAGAAGTTTGTCATGTTTCTTCCTCCTTTCTACTCTGTGTCATTTGGCAGTTCTTGCATTCTCTCTGTGGTCTTCAAGACAGATTTTTGTTCTGTTGGACACTAACACATGACAAGGGATTGATCTTGGTCTGCTTTTAAATGCTCAGATACAGTACGCAGATGAGGGTTGTTTCAAAGGTTTAATTGTAGATCACATATTTTTTGCATTTGTTTATAATTTGTACCTATTTTGAAATTCTCAAGGAAATCAGTGTGTTTGCTTTCAAAAAGATAGTCTGTTGGTTTTTCTGCCTTTTTTAATTTCATTTTATTTTAGGCTTCTCATTCAGTCCAGCAGATCCTCGAGATGATTGAACTGCCCCGTAAATATTGCAGATATTATTTCATGACTTTGCGGGGGTGTGAAAGAGCAAAATGTTGGTTTTGGCACGTTCCTGAACAAGGAGATGAAAAGGTAAAGAGCTTTATTAAAGAAAGGACAGACTGTAAGCATGAACACCTTTTAAATGCAAAACAACATCTCCTTTGTTCTCCTTTATATGTGGGAAGGGAGTAAATTTCAGAGATCGATGGATCAAAAAAACATTCAGAAATTCTGCCTCTCAAGTTCTTTTTTTTTTTTTTTTTTTTTTTTTTTAAGATAGGTTTT